AAGTTCTAGAGAGATCTTCCTAGGTGATGTTTAAGTTAATCTTACAAAAAGCAAAATGTGTGAGATTTTCTGCTGAAATTTGAATCCCACAAATACACACCGCCACGGCGTACTGTTCTGTTAGGGTGAGGCCTTTGGGGTTGAGAGTCTATACGGCTTGGGGTGGAAGGTTTAGGCTTCAGGGCTGGGGTTTAGTGCTCAGGGTTTGGGAGTGTTTAGGTTTTAAGGTTGGCCGTGTTCAGGGTTTGGGGTTTCCTGTTCATGGTTTAGGGTTTCACAGGTGGGGTGTTTAGGGTTCACGGGTGTTCAGGTTTGAGGGTTTGGGAGTCTTTACGGCTTAGGGTTTTGGAGGTTCCGCTGCAGTTTTTCGGATCAGTTTTCTACTGCCGCCACAACCTGACCATCGTGGCCCGTCCATGCTGGCCTAGGCGCGAATCCTGTAGTTTTGGTGCGCAAAGCAGCCGTTTTGGTGCGCGAATCCGTTTGCTGCGCGAATCTGTTTTTGTGCGCGAATCGATTCCCGTGCCACTGCGCGAATCCGGCGTAGCAGTGCGCGAATCCGCTGGCGGCAGTGCACGAATCCTGGGGTTGTAGGGGTGCTTGAATCCGCCCTTTTGGTGCACGAATAGGCATTTTTGATTCTCAAATCGGTTTTCAACCCCTGGACGGTAATGTAACCAACTCAAGGTCTAAGATGATCAACACCAATTTAACGCAGCCAACCACCACTCTGACACCATGTCAATGTAACCTTGCATACCTTCACAGTACGTTTCAGTATTCACAGTATTCACTGTTACCTCCCAGAACCTGGATCAAATCTTACAACAAGAACAATCAGAAGCATAACGACAAGCTCTAGCTGCTCAGGAACAAGGACGATGCCCAACAATGGTGGTAGCAATATGTAGCAATAACGACCCAGTAAGCAGTACAGAACCACGGCGGGGCGCCAGAGGCAACCCAATTGAAAGCGATGGCGACAGTCCCGGTGAACCCCAAGCCGTTCTTGAATGACCTCACCGGGAAGCTGGTTTGGCTCTGAGAAGAAATACTGTCCATGATGCACACTTGTGATTCGCCTTGCGCACCGCCACCGATGTTCGCGTTGGCGATGCCCAGTCCCGAAGGTCAGTTGGAGCTAATTTTCGAAATGCTGTTGTGTTGGTATGGTGTTAAGGGGTCCCATTGGGACACTCGATGGGGGTCAGGGGAGAGTATTATGAGGCTATTGCAGATGAAGGGGGGCTGGGGTGCCTTGGGTTTGTGATCGCTGAGGTGCTCACGAAGCTGAAGTGGGGGATGGAGTACAAGGGCACGCTGAAGTGCGCCTTCCTTCTGAGTGTTCCTGGAGGGCCCCTAAAATGAGAATACTAAGTTAATATTAAGACACGGTCTTGCAGGGCCCGTGCATGGAGCTTGGAATACATCAGAATATATGTTGTGTGGTTGAGGCCTCGAGACTTGGAGCTGCATGTTCCCGGTTCATGTCTCCGACACAGCTGTTTGGCCGAGAGAGCGGCCCTGGCAAAGGCAGATATGGTAAATGGTCATTCTCGAACTCATGCTCGCTTTGGCCAATCCTAATGCGCCTTCAATGTAGAGATACTTCAGCGTGGAGCCAGTGTAGATGAAGATAAAAGATGTGAGCTGTCAATATTCCTTGCTCATCTAAGGCAAGTCATACCTAGTTGTTATTGCAATTGATTAGGATGTTACTGAGGATGGCAACTGAGAGCAAGGACAAGACTGTAGCCATTTTCGTGGACTTGGCAGCATGCGCCTTTTGCTGGCTGCCTTCGTGGTGGGCGTCTGCCAGGCAATGGATCTCAGAACTTGTTGAAACAGACTCAGAGATATCAGAACTTGACATGCTTATAAGCGGGTAGGTATCTCGGGCTTGTGGTATGTACATGGAAAGTCATCTTGCCTTTTCGGTTGTCAGGCCAAGAGGCCGATTGTCACTACCGACCTCATCCACGGTACCGGAGAGCTGCTCTATGACATCTACTCGGCCCGAAGCCCAGGAGTCCAAATAGAAGGAAAGGGGCATGGTGTCAGCAAGGGAAGCTATGCTCTGTGATTTGTGAGGCAGCCTACCAGAAGTTCTTGGCCCACCATGTTGAGAAACATGGCAAGACGGTGCCTTCGCAAGCAGACTGTCCTTGAAGTCATGGATGTTACTTGAGGGACATGAGCCAGGAGATCTGAATGAGACCCATTCTCCAGATTCATGCAAAGAAGTAAAGGGGTAGTTGGCACATGGCTTTCCCAAGGCTTGCTAGGTTTGATTGTGGCTCGTGCGGCGTCGCCACCTCTGCCGAAAAAGCCTTCATCCCAGAACCATAAGTACCTAAAAGAACTCTGACATTCACAAGATGCCTGATCTAGTTCCAAGTTGGCCTTGCATTAAGTTTGCCTGAGCCCCGCAGAACTCTCTGTAGGGAAGCTAGTTTCAGCCCATATGGCAAGGTGCGGGATGCGATTGAGCCGATGATCCCGCCGGACCGACTTTGTTGATGGCCTGGTGATGTCTAGTTGTTTACTCGTAGCTTCTGATACTCCCAGCCAAAAGCACATCTAAAGCCATTTGAGGTTGTTCTGATGCCTTTTTCAGGATTGACGCCACGGATCACACGAGTTTTCTGCCCTGGGTTGAGACCAAGGGCCCTGTTGTGATGCTGCTGCCCCTGGTCAACCTTGTAGATGAGCCACGGGAACTTGGAGCCAACAATGTTTTTCAAACCCTCGTCACTACCGCCGCCGCCGCCGCCAAATGCCATCACCACAGCCGCCGTCCGCTTCCGCCACCACCGCTGCCACCGGCACTGCCAAAGTTCTCGCCACGCCATCGCCCTCCGCTGCCGCTGGTCGCCACTGCCGCCATCAGCACCACTAAGGCCGAAGAGTATTTACTTCCAGTATCGTTATCATGCCCAGGACCAGGCACCCTGTTTACCGCCCCTGTTCTCTATCTCATTTTTGCTCGTGCTACAGCTACAGCTGCCGGTACTTTCTTGTTGCTCCTGCTCCTCCCTCTCCCCTAGCTGTTGCAACAACGAAAAGTACGACGACTCAACTGCATGCAAAGACACAACCAGAGGTTTAACTGGGTTGCTGCTAAGGGACAGAATGATGGGTTTCAAGGGAAAATAAGTTCTTCGTTATGTTAACTTAGTTGAAGTCCCTAAACAGCACCCAACTAGCTGAGTGTGAGTCTCTTTGCTGGATGTTGACCACCAGGATCCTGTTGGGGACCTGTGCCTGAAGGTGCGGGGATCCCTGTTTGACTTACTGAGGGTGAGTAGGGAATGCGGGAATATAGGGATGATGTAATGATCATATAGGGAATACATAGGGCTTGTATTTCCTTATTCCCTCTTGCTCCCCAGTATGTAAGTATTTGAACGGGCCATTCCCATGTATTGCGTCTGATTCATCGTTGCCGGGCTGCAAAGACCCAGAGCCTTAATTGCCAACCTCAGGCTGAAGCCCCAAGCACAAAACCTTAGGCTAGACAGCTGGAGGTGCTTTATTGGGACCAGTGGTTCCTTACAGACACCACAGCTCTTTGGGTCCATGCTGTTTTCCTGGGGCCAAGCACAGCCTTTCTGTTGGCGTTGTGAAAAATGTTGGTGTTTTGGAGTGACAGGAAGTCGATTGAGTTTGGATCTACATAGCAGGATTTCGCTTGGAGAATCCTCGAAAGCACGGACCCGCAACAGGTTCTTATCACACCATTTTCCTTCTTGCATGCTATTTTGAGGCTTGAGCCCTAGACTTAAACCGTTAGGGAGGAGGCGCTAGCTCAAACATCCAAGGCAGATCTTCAACCTTGGAGCGTTGAAAGCCATGCACCAAAGCCATACTGCAACACATACACCAACAGCTGGCTGCAAACAGCTGGCTGGCTGCGCCAACATGCGACACAAAAAGCTCAAAGCACTTACAGCATTTACTGTCTAGCGAGCACACAGCAGATGTGAAGCCCCAAAGCAGAGCCTCAGCCTCAGAATCCCAGGCAGTAACCCGAAACCTGAAACATGAAAACTCTGACCCTCAAAACCTGAAATCCAAAGCCCCAGGCCCCAAGCCCTCAAGCCATGAAATTCTAAGGTTTGAGTCAGACCCCAGGCCCCAGACCTTCGAGCTGCAACCCTAAACCTGAAACTTGAACCCCACAACCCAAATCCCTTCAAGAGGCTGTGGTAAAACGGCAAAAAAGCCAGCCAGGTGGGTGTGGAGAAGCAGGAGATCTTTAAGCGGGTGGACTCAGCGGCGGAGCTGGCCAGCACGGCCCGGGAGACAGCGCAGGCTGCTTGGGGATTCCGTATGCCTCTGCAAGAAACAGAGTATTCCAATGTACTGTAGTGGTACTGTTCTATGTTAGGGAACAAACAATGATTGGGTGTGGTGCGTCCTTTCTGTCCTCTAAGGGGGATCCTAAGCATTCTGAACGTTTTGCGAGCTACTTGCATAGAGTATTTCAGCATTTTTCAACAAGGATCCCCATGATCCCTTGTAATCCTTACGTGTGTATCCCTACCGTAGGCTCCTCAAGGGCACCCTTGCCTTGAGAAACCCTCAAAAGTGCCTCAGCATAGTACAATCCTACTGGTTCTTAGTAGGGGACATGGGAGTGTAGTACATAGGGTTTAACGTCATCTAAATAAGGATTACGCTCCCTTATTCCTCACGAAGAACCAGGAAGCAACAGCAACAGGATCATAATGGTTGCTTGCCGTACTTCGTGGAAACGTTGTATGTTCAATGACGTCAGTGAGAGCACTAAAGCAACGCTGAGAGCATACATCATGATCTCAATCCGCGGCGCTTTGGAGGTTTTCTTCTTCTTTTTTTTTTTTTT